GAGAAATTGAGCATGGTTGGATATTTGATCTACTTACTGGGGCTTTGACATTGATCGTAACTCAAAGTTCAGATGTGTGGAGATTTCTTTGAGATGATTGTAGATTGAGCTTGGATGCACACATTCAGTCAAAAAGAGAGAGAATGAAAGAGGAGTCTTTGAAGCATCAGATACGAGCTGTTGGAACACATGCGAAGCTGTTCCAACACAAGGATGAAAGTGACGTGGCAAGAGGAGCTGATGTGGATAAAGCGCCAACAAGAAGAATCTATTCAATAAAGGAAGATTTCGTATCAAAAGATATTAAATAAGTGAGAATCAAGAAAAAGGCAACTTAGAAGATTTACTTATCCGACGAATATAAAAAGGATTGAAGTAGAATTTTCTAAAGTTAGCCGTTTCAAGAGAAAGAAAAGTTGCAGAGCTTTTCTATTGAGAGAGTTGTGATAACTCTATAAACGGAGGCAAGAGTGTGTACAAGATAAAAAGTTTGTCTTTGATCTTGCTTAGAGTAGGAATCTTGGGTGACAAACTAAAGGTAGGCTTAGCGTTGAGTAAACCAACAAGAGAGTGTTGTGGGGGTCGAATTTCACAATCAGATTTGTTTTAGTAACTTTTCTAGGGTTGACACTTATGCGGAAAACCACTAAAAACGAAGGATCTCAAGAGACGATTTTTATTAAGCTGTTAAGAAAACTGTTTCTGAATACAAGTGTTTTGTTTAATGAATTCGGATCATCTCCATGGAGGATGTTTACATGTCTTTATATCCTTCTTCACTCACCAACTTCCATCCACTCAGTGAGCCTTCTAGTATAGGTCGGCTAGAGTCAAAGCCTAAGACCTAAAAAGGAAGCTGTCTCTCCACTCACCAACTTCCATCCACTCAATGGACCTTCTAGTAACCTTCCACTTAGTGGCTCTCCACCCACTTGTTTATTCTTCAGGTTTGTGATTCTAGTGGGTGGAATTTGACCCTAACAGTTAGCCCCCTAGCTCGGCAGTATCAGTGATGATAGTGTCGAGGTAAAAAAGTCATGTTGTGATAGAATCAACAGTCTTGTTTGACATTCAGAAAATAGAACGATCCGCCGTGGGCAAGGTATTGAGTTACTCTTCTCAACGGCTCGCCGTCTTGGTTTGTAGAACAATGTTGTTAATTCTTACGCGACTCGCCATTTGATGATAACGAAAGATAATGAAGCCGAGTCGTAGAAATGACGAGCCATTTTCTAACATGATGTTGAGTTATTTTGTTCCACAATTTGGCGCTTGATTTCTTGTGAAGACATAGTGTCGATCCTCTTTTAGTGTTAGTGACGAACCGTTCAAATACGTAGAGGCCGAGCTGTTGAGTTGATGGCAAACCGCGGATAGAGTGATGAAGACTCATGGAGAAGAAAATAGTGACAAAGCATGGAGACATGGTGACGAGCCATGGAAAAGATGATGACGCTTCGCGGATGGAGTGGTGCCGAGCCGTGAATATCTTTGGCAGCAATTCATTGTGAAGAAAATGGTGGCGAGCCTTGGAGGAGATAATGACGAGTCTTGGATGGACCGATAACGAGTCGCGGATGGAGTGATGACGACCAATGGAGAAGCAAATAGTGACGAAGCATGGAGATACGACGACGAGCCATGGAAAAGATGATGACGATCCGCGGATGGAGTGATGACGACCCGTGAAACATGGTGACGAGCCGCCTATGAGATAGTGTTGGTTTGCTACTAAAGCGGCGAGCCCCTATTTTTACTTAGAAAATTTCTTCTTCTCGATTTGCCCTTAATTTCTTACTTAGAAAATTTTTCTTCTTGTTTTGGAGCGGCTCACCACTAGTTTTTTACTTAAAAATGTTTATCTTCTTGTTTTGGAGCGGCTCGTCACTAATTTCTTACTTAGAAATTTGTGTTTTCTTGTTTTGGAGCGGCACACCACGAATTTCTTAGATTTTTTTTTTTAGAGAACTCGTCGACCGCCGTGTTTTTGTGTCCAACCGTTTTAATGAGTGTGACGAGCCACTGCGAGACTTGAACACATTTGTCGTGATGTGATGATCCGTGGCGGGACGATATCATTTTAATGAGGTGACGTTCCGCGGCGAGACGACATCATATTTGATGAGAGGTGACGATCCGCGGCGAGACGACGTCATTTTTGATGAGAGGTGACGATATGCGGCGGGACGATGTCATCTTTGATGAGATGTGACCATCCGCGGAGGGACGATATTATCTTTGTTGAGAGGTGATGAGCCGCGGTGAGCTCCACCATAATTGATATAACTTTCGTACCATTGATCTAAATAACTTCAATCTTCTTTTGGATGAAAGCTGATTCAAATATCTTTCTTTTTCATCAAGGACACTGATCCGTTTGATGACTATACCGAAGCGGAGAGCTGTTTTGGTGAGGTGCGAGAAATGTAAATCGATATGCCTATAGTAAATCGATTGTATCTTTCTAACCACAACTCCAAACAATGTGACTCCAACTCGATTTTAAAGATGACTCAAATATCTCTCTTTTTCATTAAGGATGCTGATCTGTTTGATGACTGTACCGAAGCGGCGAGTCGTTTTGGCGAGGTACTAGAAATGTAAATCGATATGTCTTTAGTAAATTGATTGTATCTTTCTAACTGCAACTCCAAACAATGTGATTCCAACTCCATTGGAAAGATGACTCAAATATCTCTCTTTTTTATCAAGGATCCCGATCCGTTTTGGCGAGATGTAATTCGATGTGTCTTTAGTAAATCGATTGTATCTTTCTAACCACAACTCCAAACAATGTGATTCCAACGCCATTGGAAAGCTGACTCTAATATCTCTCTTTTTCATGAAGGAGGCTGATCCGTTTTAGGAATGTACGGAAGAGGCGAGCCATTTTGGCGAGGCTCAAGAAATGTAAATCGATGTGTCTTTAGTGAAACGATTGTATCTTTCTAACCACAACTCCAAAAAATGTGATTCCAACGCCATTAGAAAGCTGACTCTAATATCTCTCTTTTTTTATGAAGGATGCCAATCCGTTAGCTTGCATGGAGATCCGTTGATGAAGGCATGAAGTTACTCGATTGATGGAGAGATTCGTTGAAGAGAATGTTGGTTTGATTGAGACAACGGCAAGCCGTTTTTTTATAGAAAGATAACGATGAGCCGTTTCTTGGAGAAGATGGGTCACCATATTGGATAATAAATATTCGATGTTAAGGCTGGCGAGCCGTTTTTATGAGTTTAGAATGGACATTCCGGTTTACAAACCTGTTCCCGTGAACAAGTTTGCTCCAAAAATGATCACTTAGTCTTTCGAGTTGTGTGCTGGGTTTTTGAGATGATCATTCTGGTTTACGGATATATTCCCGTGAACAAGTCCGCTCCAGTAATGAACATAGAATTTTGACCAGCGGCTGGTGCTAGGTTTCTGAGTGGGATATTCTGGTTTACGGATATGTTCCCGTGAACAAATCCGCTCTAGCAATGAACACTGAATTTATATAGTGCGCTTTAATCCGCTGGAGATGTAGAGTTCGTCACTATGGCCAACAGCAACGAGATAACAAAGAGAAGTCTGTTTCAAGAAAGACTTTGGATGATTTGCAAGTAAACACTTTGCTTTATTGATTTTTTGAAACGGCAAGCTGTGTAAAGAT